CTCAGTTCTTTCTTCCGGTCGTCATTCCCCCCGTGTTAAGCATGACTTTTGGATCAGCTTGGCAGTTTTTAAAGATTTTACTTATTTATTTTTATTTTTATTTATTTATTTATTTATTTTTATTTTATTTTTTTGACAGGCAGAGTGGACAGTGAGAGAGAGAGACAGAGAGAAAGGTCTTCCTTTTGCCGTTGGTTCACCCTCCAATGGCCGCCGCGGCCTGCGCGCTGCGGCCGGCGCACCGCGCTGATCCGATGGCAGGAGCCAGGAGCCAGGTGCTTTTCCTGGTCTCCCATGGGGTGCAGGGCCCAAGCACCTGGGCCATCCTCCACTGCACTCCCTGGCCACAGCAGAGAGCTGGCCTGGAAGAGGGGCAACCGGGACAGAATCCGGCGCCCCGACCGGGACTAGAACCCGGTGTGCTGGCGCCGCTAGGTGGAGGATTAGCCTAGTGAGCCGCGGCGCCGGCCTAAGGATGACTTTTCAAAACTCCACCGTCTCTGATGGAATGTCTGAGGTGACCAAGCTGTCACTTTCCTTCAGTGACAGCCCTCGTTTGCCAAGAGCACCAGCCTCTGAGCAAAGGACTTGATATTCATCCGAGTGTCTGCCTGAGGAGTGGGGAGACCTCCAGCCTTAAGAGCTTGAATTGTTTTTTTTTTTGACAGGCAGAGTGGACAGTGTGAGAGAGAAACAGCACACTTGCTGGAGGGTGTGTCACTGAATCCAAACTGATCAGTGCCTTTTTTTTTTTTTTAAGATTTATTGATTTATTTCCTTGTTTGAAAGTCAGAGTTACACAGAGAGAAGGAGTGGGGGAGTGGGAGACAGAGAGGTCTTCCATCTGCTGGTTGACTTCCCAGTTGGCCGCAATGGCTGGAACTGGCCTGATCCAAAGCCACAATCCAGGAGCTTCCTGTGGGTCTCCCACGTGGGTACAGGGACCCAAGGACTTGGGCCATCCTCTACTGCTTTCCCAGGCCATAGCAGAGAGGTTGATTGGAAATGGAGCAGTTAGGACTTGAACCGGTGCCCACTGGGATGCTGGCATTGCAGGCGTCCAGCAGCTTTACTGCTAAGCCACAGTGCCAGCCTGATCAGTGCTTCTTAAAAAGCCTGTAAGTGTCCTTTCATCTCAAAGCTGGCCCAAGCGCTTTTTGTCAGTGCCCTGAATGAGACTGATGGTGCCGGCATGTAGTTCATCATGAACTAAGGGTGGAGAGCAGTGGTGGGCTTCTTTGCACTGTGGTCACTGCTTTGGCAGGAATAGGACAGAAACCTCAAAGCCAGTACCTGAGCCCAAAGCCTGAGCTGTTCTTTTGTTAATGCCTTTTATCATTTTGCTTAGTGTACTTTTTGTTGAATGATTTCTGGTTGTTTTTGCTAGGAGTCCCCAAGCCCAGAATTGTCTCTAATCCACAGTTGGTGTGTTATTTGCAGTGAACTGGGAAACTGTCAGAAAATGGAATCCTTCCCTGTGAGCCACTTCCTGCAGCTAGACTAAGATGCCTAGTCTTATGGCCACCAGTGCCACAATGCTGGATGTCACGTGGAACGCACAGACCACTGAAACCAGCAAAGCATTAGGACCAAAACCCACACTGCCATGGTGTGCTATTGACGTGGACTCACAGGCAGAGGCCCCTGCAGCCAGCCACAAATAATGCTGGCCAGAAGAATCCATCACTTTCACTGTCATTTAGCTGTTTGCAAGCTGATACAGATATTAGTCTTAAACTCCTAAGTAAGTTTTTATGAGACAGATGGGGGTGGGCATTATATAGTACATATAATTTGGTGGAAACAAAGTGTCATTGACAATGAAAAATTAAGCTGGACTAAAATCACCTGATTTATCCATACATAGGTATGAAAAATATATTTAGACTTGTCCCAAATATGAACTTTGTTATGTTGGAGCTACGCATACAATTGATAGTGCTACTTGTTAGTTTTTTTTAGCTTGAATTGTTTCATATTATTGACTGTGTCATACTTAAAATTTTTGAACTTTGCAATATTACTTTTTGTTTCTATATTTTTCAAATTGTAGAATGCTGGAGAATAAACTAATCTCCATGGTCCTCCTTTCTCTTAGTATGTGATGAGTCAGTAAACAACTTCTATTTTTTTTTGTATTTTGAATGGCAGCATTACCCTTATGGTGTTGCACTGCACAGAGTGTTATGGTTCTTTGCTCATCGAGTTCAAAATAATCAATTAAAGCGTAGCTTTTGGGAACCGGTGTTGTGGAAGTCCCACTGCTCTGCTTTCTCGCTGGTTCCCTGCTCCTGTGCCTGAGAAAGCAGGAGCTAGCTCAAGTACCTGGACCCTTGCCAGGCAGGGAGATCTGGATGGAGTTGCAGGCTCCTGACTTTAGCCAGGCCTAGCCCTGGCCATCATGGCCATTTGGAGAGTGAACAGGTGGATGGAAGATACTTTTTTCTCTGTTTATCTTTCTCTCTCTGTAATTCTCTGCCTTTCAAATAAATCTTAAAAAAAAAAAAAGACATAGCTAACGGGAAAAGCAAGTTCATTAAGTGGCAGAGCTGGAGTATTGAGTATTTGTCATTCCTGTATATGAAAATCATTGGAAAAGTGAACATCTTTGTTTATTTTCAGTTTGTTTACTTGAAAAGTAGTGTAAGGTATTTTTCATTAGAAGTTGCAAACTCAAACTTCTTGGCTGTGCATCCTGCCTCTACCACTAACGAGAAGAGTGACCTTGGGCAGGTTATGTAACTTCTTTGTGCCTTGGTTTCCTCATCAGTGAAATAGGGACAGAAATGTAACCTATTTTGTAGTGCCATGGAGATGTAAAGAATTTATACATGTAGAGAGAAATATCTAACATGCTGCATCATATATAGTATACAGTATTAGTAATTATTTTGAGACCAGCACTGTGGTATAGCAGGTAAGGCCGCTGCCTGTGATGCCTGCAACCCATATGGGTGCCGGTTCAAGTCCTGGCTACTTCGCTTCCTATCCAGCTCCCTGCTAACATGCCTGGGAAAGCAGTGGAAGATGGCCAGGTCCTTGGGATCCTGCAGGAAGAGACCTAGAGGAAGCTCCTGGCTCCTAAAAGATAGATTTTGCTGATCTGCTTATGAGTGTTTTGTAGCATTTTACTATTTGTAGAACAACTATTTTATCACCATTAAATATTACTGTATCATTGACATTTAATGCTATGCTTGGCACAACTGTCATAGATATGAAACACCTTCATAATGAATAGATTTTTTTCAAAAGAAGGTGCTATGATCTAAGTGTGTTCTCTCAGAAATCCATATGTGGAAATCTGAACTTGGGGCCAGCACTGTGGCAGCATGCCAAGCCACTGCCTGCCTTTCCAGCATCCCAAATGGGTGTGGTTCCTGGCTGCTCCACTTCTGATCCAGCTCCCTGCTGACGCTCCTGGGGAAGCAGTGGAAGATCGCTCACATGCTTGGGCCCTGCCCCCACGTGAGAGACTGGAACGATGCTCCTGGCTTCGGTCAGCACAGCTCTGGCTGTGGCAGCCGTATGGGGAGTGAATCACAGATGGGAGACCTCTCTTTCTCTCTACCTCTCTGTGTAACTCTTTGAAAATAATAGAGTTAACACTGCATTTTAAAATGTCCTTCATTCAGCTTTGTTGGCAGGAGTATTAGAGGCCACTTTTTTAATCATTGTCTCTCTTAACCTTTTCTTTTCAGGACCAGAGTTCTAATAAAGCAGGAAAGGAGAAAGCAAAAGGTAAAGAAAATAAAATTTTATTTATATTAGCCTTGTGAGAACAGTGATTGTCTGAAGCAGTTTCCTGCTGATTGGTTCACCTAAGTGAACTGTTCTTGCAGGTAGCTTGATAAAGCACCTTTTACTCAGGCAGAGACTTAAGGTCATTGTTAATTCTTACTGTCTTCTTAGCTCCAAAATACATTGCAAACTTGACCACTGCTTGCACTATGAGTGCTCTAATTCAGACCATCACTTATTGCTGGTTATACTATAATGGTCTTGTAACCTATGTCCTGCTTCTATTTTTGTATTTTTTTAATAAATAACACTGTATTAGAGATGAACTTAAAACTGAGCAGTGTGTGTCTGAGAGAAACTCTTGCACGTATGTACTTTCTTCTTTTTTTAAAAAAAGAAGGCCAGAGACCAGCGCTGTGGCATAGCAGGTTAAGCCACTGCCTGCAGTGCTAGCATCCAGTAGGGAAACCAGTTCAAATCTCAGCTGTTCCACTTCCAATCCAGCTTCCTACACTTGGGAAAGCTGGGGAAAATGGCTCAAGTATTTGGGCTTCTGCCACCTGCTTAGGAGATGGAGATGAAGCTTGGCCTGGGCCGGGCAAGGCCAAAGCTAAGAACCTGGAATTCCTTCTGGATCTCTGGATCTGAATAATTACCATCGTATCCGTGTATTGACTGCATGTAATTTGTGTGGAGGAATCCGCAATACATAGTGCTGAGCAAAGAAGCAACTCATAGAAGAATTCAAATAGTTAAGATTTGTAGTAGCAAGTGTCATGGCACAGTGGGATAAGCACCTCTTGGGACATGAGCATCCCATATCAGAGTGCTGGTTTGAGTCCTGGTTACCCTGCCTTTGATCCAGCTTCCTGCTGATGTACCTGGGAAGCAGTGAAGGATGGTTCAAGTCCTTTAGTCCCTGCCATCCACATGGAAGACAGATGGAGTTCTGGGTCCTGGCTTTGGCCTGGCCCAGCCCTTGCTCTTGTGGCCATTTGGGGAAAGAACCAGCAGATGGAAGATCTCTCGGTCTTTTCCTCTGTCCTTCTACCTTTCAAAAAAATAAGTAAGTCTTAAACAATCATTACTTTTACAAAAAGTTTTCAAAATATGGGGAAAAACTCCAACAATACATCAGTAAGTCAAATGTAAAATAAAAGGAAAGCCAGGGAGTGAGGACTGTAGTGGTAGGATGGTTCCTCTCTGGACCATCTGCCATCCTCCCCTCTGCTCATTCACTCTTTCCTCCCGTTCTTTTCTCAGTTCCTGCTAGTGTTAACAATAGACTTTATGTTCAGCTGAAAGAATAGTTTTCAGGGCAATATTGTGGTGTAGTGGATAAAGCCGCCACTTGGCATCCCATAAGGACACTGGTTCAAGTTCTTGCTGATCCATTTCCAATCCAGCTCCTTGCTAATGAGCCTGGGGAAGCAGTGGAAGATGACCCAAGTTCTTGGGCCCCTGAACACATGTGGAAGACCGGGAAGAAGCCCCTGGATCCTAGCTTCAGTCTGGCCCAGCCTTGGCTGTTGTGGCCACTTGCGGAATGAACCAGGGAATGGAAGATATCTCTCTCCCTCCCTCCATCACTCTCTCTCTCTCTCTCTATTTCACATGAATAAAATAAATCTTTAAAAAAAGATTTTCTGCCCAACTTAGTTTAATATGGCACCACCTTTTTTTTTTTTTTTTGACAGGCAGAGTTAGAGAGAGAGAGAAAGGTCTTCCTTTGCCGTTGGTTCACCCTCCAATGGCCGCCGTGGCTGACGCACTGCGGCCGGCGCACCGCGCTGATCCGATGGCAGGAGCCAGGTACTTATCCTGGTCTCCCATGGGGTGCAGGGCCCAAGCACTTGGGCCATCCTCCACTGCACTCCCTGGCCACAGCAGAGAGCTGGCCTGGAAGAGGGGCAACCAGGACAGAATCCGGCGCCCCGACTGGGACTAGAACCCGGTGTGCTGGCGCCGCAAGGTGGAGGATTAGCCTAGTGAGCCGTGGCACCAGCCAATATTTCACCACCTTTTACACAGTTCACCATTCCCCTTCATCTTGTGTTTTTTTTTTTCTTTTTTTGACACATTCTGGAGATTTTATTTCTATCTCACTGGTCCCCTTAAAATGGTTCTTTTCAAGGTGAAATTTTTCTAATTCCCTGCTGAGCATTTTTTAGGTGCTTTTACCAACTGAGACGTAACAGAAAATTGAGCCTGTTCTTGTCAGGTAAATGATACATGCACTAGACACAGATTAGAGATAATCATGGCTAGAGTTTGAGGACCAAGTCTCCTGAGTAGCATTGTTTGCTGTTCTTTATTCCAGGAACCACATATGCATTCCTAATTTGGGTCACTCTGATTCACTCATCTACCTTAGACATTTTTTCTTCTCTTTTTTTTTTTTTTTGACAGGCAGAGTTAGAGAGTGAGAGAGAGAGAGAGAAAGGTCTTCCTTCCGTTGGTTCACCTCCTAAATGGCCGCTACAGCCTAAATGGCCGCTACAGCCGGCACGCTGCGCTGATCCAAAGCCAGTAGCCAGGTGCTTATCCTGGTCTCCCGTGGGGTGCAGGGCCCAAGCACTTGGGCCATCCTCCATTGCCTTCCCGGGCCACAGCAGAGAGCTGGACTGGAAGAGGAGCAACTGGGACAGAACCGGCGCCCCAACCGGGACTAGAACCTGGGGTGCCAGTGCCTCAGGCAGAGGATTAGCTTAATGAGCCACAGCGCTGGCCATTTTTTCTTTTTTTTAAGATTTATTTTTATTTATTTGAAAGAGTTACACAGAGAGGTAGAGAGCTGCTGGTTCACACCCCAAAATGGTCACAACGACCAGGGTTGGGCCAGACTGAAGCCAGGAACCACGAGGGTCTCCCAGGTCTTCCACGTGGGTGTAGGGACCCAAGCACTTGGGCCCTCCTCTGCTGCTTCCCCAGGTGCATTAGCAGGGACCTGTATCAGGAGTGAAGCAGCTGGAACTCGATCTGGCACCCATGTGGAATGCAGGTGCTATAGGCCAGGACTCTAACTCACTGTGCCACAGCACTGGCCCCAGAAATCATTTCTTGACATAATCTGTATCTCCCTGTCTTCCCTCTGCCCATCCTGCCCCAGGCTATAATTTACATACTATTCTTGAAAAAATTTTTTTTAGGTTTATTTATTTCATTTGAAAGGCAGAGTTAGAGATATGGAGAGAGATTTTCCATCCACTGGTTCACTCCCCAAATAGCCTCATTGGCCATGGCTGGGCCAGACTGAAGTCAGGAGCCAAGTAGCTCCTTCCAGGTCTCCTGTGTGGGTGCAGGGGCCCATCCTCCACTGCTTTCTGAGGCACATTAGCAGGGAGCTGGGTTGGAGGTGTAGCAGCTGGTAATCAAATCTTGAGTCCTGTGGGATGCAGGCACTGCAGGTGCCAACTTAACGTGCTGTGCCACAGTGCTGACCCCATCCTGAGAATTTTATACCATCTCTTATCATACTCAGTTTTAATTATTTGTGTCATTGTCTCCCTCATTGTGCTTTTTTTTAAGGATTTATTTTATTTATTTGAAAGAGTTACAGAGAGAGGTAGAGACAGAGAGAGGTCTTCCATCTGCTGGTTCACTCCCCAGATGGTTGCAATGGCCAGCGCTGTGCCAAACCGAAGCCAGGAGCTTCTTCTGGGTCTCCCACATGGGTGCAGGGGCCCAAGGACTTGGGCAATCTTCTGCTTTCCCAGGCCAAAGCAGAGAACTGGATCGGAAGAGGAGAAGCCGGGCCTAGAATTGGCACCCATATGTGATGCCGGTGGTTCAGGCCAGGGTGTTAACCCGCTGCACCATAGCACCAGCCCCGACCTCATTGTGCTTTTATCCATCACAGAGTGCCTAAAGAAGGAACATTTTTAATTAAAAAAACTATCAATTATAATATTTATCATAGTCATAGAATTTTTTTGAGGGTGGCTAAGTAGTTACATTGTAAAGTTCTGTTATTTAATTATGGAACTGTAGTATAACTGGGAAAGACAGACCTTAGATCTACTGGTTCTCTCCTCAGGTGATATTGACAGCCAGGGCTGGGCCAAATGGAAGCTCAGAGCCAGGAGTCCCTCTCACATAGGTGGCAGGGCCCAAACATTTTGGCTTTCCTCTGCTGCTTCTCTCAGGCCAATAGCAGGTAGCTAGATGGGAAGTGGAACGGCCAGGACATCCCATGTGGGATGCCAGCATTGCAGGTGGTGACTTCACCCACTACACAACAAAGCCAGCCCATAGTATGATCTTTTAGAAGAGTTATTTATTTATTTGCAAGTCAGAGTTATACAGAGAGAGGAGAAGCAGAGAGAGAGAAAGAGAGAGGTCTTCCATCTCCTTCTTCACTCCCCAATTGGCTGCAACAGCCAGAGCTGCACTGATCTGAAGCCAGGAGCCAGGAGCTTCTTCCGGATCTCCCACCTGGGTACAGGGGCCCAAGGACTTGGGTCATCTTCTGCTGCTTTCCCAGGCCATAGCAGAGAGCTGGATTGGAAGTGGAGCAGCTGGGTCTTGAACTGGAGCCAATATGGGATGCTGGCGCTGCAGGCCAGGTTGTTAACCTGCTGCGCCACAAAGCCAGCCCCACTTCATATGAATTTCATCATCATTTTTTCTAAATCTGAGAGGAATTTGGTATTTTGATTGGTATAGCATGGAATCTGTAAATTGCTTTTGGAAGAATGGACATTTTGATGATATTGATTCTTCCAGTCCATGAACATGGCAGATTTTTTCATTTTTTGTATCTTCTTAAAAATATGGAATCCTTCATGAATTTATGTGTCATCCTTGTGTGGGGGCCATGCTAATCTTCTCCGTATCGTTCCAGTTTTTAGTATATGTGCTGTCGAAGCAAACACCAGATATTTACTTTATTGCTTAATAGCTGGCAAGTCTTTTATAGATCTTACAAGTTTTTGTTTGTTTGTTTGTTTTTTATTTGACAGATAGAGTTAGATAGTGAGAGAGAAAAACAGAGAGAAATGTCTTTCTTCCGTTGTTCACCCCCCAAATGGCTGCCACGGCCAGAGCTATGCTGATCTGAAGTCAGGAGCCAGGTACTTCTTCCTGGTCTCTGACGCGGGTGCAGGCGCCCAAGCACTTGGGCCATCCTCCATTGCCTTCCTGGGCCACAGCAGAGAGCTAGACTGGAGGAGGAGCAACCGGGACTAGAACCTGGCGCCCATATGGGATGCTGGCGCTGCAGGTGGAGTATTAGCCAAGTGAGCCATGGCGCCGGCCCGACAAGTTATTTATTTTTTTTTAAATAATCTTAAACAAGTATTTTTTTAAATTAATCGTAAAAGTTACTAGTGTTAGTTGACAATGTTTGGCAATGTTAATGTGAGAGGGTTTTAACCTCTTAGAAATATGATCTCTGATTCTTAGAAATATGACCTCATGCATTATATTTTTTGCCATCTTGGATTTTTCTCACTTTTGACATCTCACACTTATAATCATATTTATAGCTTCAATTTGAGTTGTTTAATGGCCAAGAAAGATTTTTGAAGGTCATGTGTTACAGTGTCTAACACATAGCTGTTGATTGGTAAACAAACATTTAGCAAGTAAATACTTTTTTTTTTTTTTAAGATTTATTTATTTATTTGAAAGGCAGAGTTACAGAGATGCAGAGGCAGAGAGAAAGGGAGGTTTTCCATCTGCTGGCTCATTCCCCAAATTGCTGCAGCAGCTGGAGCTGGGTCAATCTGAAACGAGGAGCCAGGAGCTTCTTCTGGGTCTCCTATGTGGGTGTAGGGGCCCAAAGTCTTGAATCATTTCTGCTTTCCCAGGCGATAGCAGAGAGCTGGATTGGAAGAGAAGCAGCTGGGACTAGAACTGGTGCCCATATGGGATGTGTCACCACAGTTGGAGGCTTAGCCCACTGTTCCACAGTGCTGCCCCCTCTATTGACTGTGCATGTGTTTGAGGCATTTTGGATTTATGTTTGATTGTAAAAAAAAAAAAAAAAATTCTTGAATCTATTGGATTTGTTACCAGATATTTTTTTTTAACTTTCTATGTAATGGTTTCTAACCATTTGATCCTTAGGAATACCTTTTTAAAGTTCTGTTTTAAGGTTATGTTTAACAAAAGATTTTAAAAGGCTGTGAATTTTAGCATCTTTAGGAAAACTATGATCATGATTGATTTTAATTTCTGTGTAAACTGATGTTCATCACAAAAATATAGAAACATCAAATTGATGAATTAATAGCATTATTGCTCTTTTTAATTTATGATTCTGCCTAAAGCCATGTGGTTACTACATTAATTTCTTTTTATTTACTTTAGGAATATTTTGAAAAGAACAGGTTAAAAGCAAAAATGAAATTACTCGGAGTTTTATCCCCTGTCAAAAGTTCTGCTGTCAGTTTAGATCTTCTTAATCTGTATATTGTAAATCAGATATCTTGCAAGAAGAAAATCCTGGGTAAGTCTTGCCGATGGTGTTTTATTTTGACCTTGATGTGATCATAACAGTTGGCTTTCTAATCAATTTGCAGTTTTAGAACTCAAAGCACATGGGAAATTTATTTGAATCCATTGATTTCTATCTTAAATTAGAAGTATAGTTAATATTTGCTTAACTAATTTTGTTACTTGATCCGTTTTTAATTTTGAGTAAAATATTATATAAAATTTATTACTTATAGGTAAGCTTATTATACTGCAATTTCCTATATTAAATTATTATATATGGAAAGATAGTTAACAAATATTAGCTGGAAAACAAGGAATAAATGCCTTCTTTAGTATTCAGAGAATCTGTTTGAAAGAAAGGGCTGAAAATTTTTGCCTCAATGATTAGGCTCCTGTGTCATAATTTGAAGTATTTCTTACACCTCCCTGGAATATAAACTCTAATAGTATCATATTTAAAGGTAAAGTTTGTTTTGTCCTGCACTTTGGTTTTCCAAATGAATAAAATGTTTAATCAGAGCTTTTTTCCCTTCTCAAGGAATCTTCTGATTTATTTTTAGAAGTGCAGATATGAGAGGTTAAAGATTAGGTAGTTCATCAAGAAAGGGTAGAAGCTGATATGAGTATTAATATCTCCCCATTTCCTTTCTCTGCCTTCTTTGTTCCTCTGTTCTTAGATGACAACTTAAATAAATGTATACTTTAGGAAGAATAAATATAATAGCCAAAGACTTTAGGAAAAAACTTTTTATTATGGATCTGATATATTTCCCTTTATTCTCTTTTGTGAGGAAGGGCAAATATGTTTTTCTTATTCATAGTTGGGTTCATTACTGAAGCCTCAGTAACAGAATCAGGTTAACAAAAAGAGAAGCCTACAGATTTAATGAGTTTTATGTGACAAGAGAGCCTTCTTGGGAAATGAAAACCCAGAGAAAGGGTATATCTGTGCTTTCTTGGTGCTAAGTTTCATATGATGTGCATAAATCTAGACACATATAATTAAATACACAAAAGTGTGATTCATTGGTGGTCAGCTAAGGGGTACTTGGGAAGGCCATTTTGTTAATTCTTTCCTGTGACCCAGTGTCTTCAGAGATGAGAATCTTTTCTTTCAGGCTGAAGGAGGGCACTTCTGGCATGTAGGTGTTATGACTTGCTTTTGGGGAGGGAGAGGAAGGTCCTTCCTGAGTTCTGTGGGCAGCTCTAGGGGATGAAGGAGAGGGTCAGAGTGATCTCCTCGCTTCTGCTGTTTTCTCAATTGCTAAGATACCATATTTGGGGTAATGGTGTCTTGAGCCTCACTACTTTCTTCCTCACTTTGATTCATTCATTTAGCATGGTTAAAAGAGGATTTCACATTTGGTTTGTTGGGGATAAAATAGAAAGCCAGACTTAATTAATTAGAACTCCTCACTGCAAATGGCAGAAATTCAACAAGGAAATACATTTACTCATTTAACTAAAGAAAGAGTGATGGTGCAGTTGGTCTCAGATTTGCAGGGCTGGTGTGGCGGTGTGGGTTAAGCCACTGCCTATGGGTCTGCATCCCCTATCGTAGTTTTGGTTCAAGCAATTCTTGGCTATTCTGCTTCTGATCAAGCTTCTTGATAATGCGCCTGGGAAAGTAGTGAAAGATGGCCACCCACGTGGGATAGAATAGAATATTCCAGTATAGAATGCCAGACTCCTGGCGTTCCCCTGCTCCAGCCTTGAATGTTGCAGCCATCTGGGGACTGAATCAGTGGATGGAGGATCTCCCCCTCTCTCCTTTTCTGCCTCTCACTTTCTCTGCACTCTGTCTTTCAAATAAGTAATATCTTCTTTTTTTGAAAAAAAAGTACATGAATGAAAATTTGAATCCTACCAAGATTGTTTTCTCACAGTACATATTAGATTTATTCTCTCAGACTGTCTTCATCATTGAAGCTCAAAATGTGGCCTTAAGAAGCTAATATTCATCTCTCCTAGTTTTGTCACCAAAGGGAAAGTGAGAGTTGTTTCTCTGATTCCAGATTTTAGAGTCCACTGGGAAAATGTTGCCTTGTTCTGCTGGTGCCAGGTCTCAGTAGTGGAACAGTTACACGTGTGACCATGGGGATGAGATTCTGTTGATTTTTCTGCATCAGATGGATACCTGTAATCCAGTTACTAAGTTCTAGAGAGGCAGGGCTTTAAAGAAGGATAGTAAGTCCTGACTGTACATTTGTTTAGTTGGGATGGATGTAGAAGGCATTTCTCAGGAGAGTTGATGAAAGTACTGAGCAGAGAAAACAGTGATGTATTCTATAGAGAGAAGGCTTATTGTTCACCTAGTACTATTAAGTATGGGGAATACTGTAATAGAGTATATGCTGTGGGAATACGTAACAGCATTGGATCCAGCCTGGGGCTGAGAGAAGTCTTGGAGCAGAAAAAAGCAGAACTGAATTAGTAAGGCCCTTTCATGAAGATTATGAAAGGTGATGAACAAATAATCTTGTTCTTATTATCTAGGTGTTGCTTGTGCTGAAATGATATTTTCTAGCACACATACAATATGAGTGTTTTAGAGAAAATTTCTTAAATGTGCATTTATTTAATGAACTTATCAGTGTTTTAAAAATATTGTATTTTTTAATAACTACATTTTTTCATTATAGAAACGGTGAGAAAACCAACCCATGTGAATATGAATAGGGACATAACAGTGCCCCTGAGAAAGCATGATGTAGAACTTCCCATGTCACCTCACTGCACACCTTCCAAGCTCTGCATTGATGACATCGAAAACAAGTAGGTGTTAGCTGGGATTTATGTTACTAGTATTTGATCTGTTTGTTCGCAACACTGTATTCAATGAAAAATGTACAGGGGGCTTATCTTCTAGCTCCAGTTTTTGCTTAGCTCACCACATTCCATGAAACTGTTAATGATGTTTATTGAATGACCTAAGTGTTCTGTATACCCGATGACGGTGTCTAGCTGCTGGAAGCTGAAATGAACTTGTCATCTCTGTCAATTGAGCGTGGGAAGGATCTTTCTACTAGTGATCTGCAGAGGAACGTCGATCTTCTGCGCACAGTGTTGAATAAAGGTTTTAACACTTAGCTATTCTTACATGAACCTAAAAAATGGCATAAAGTTTGCGGTGCCAGGCATGCTGTTTGTGGTTGAGTTATCCTAGTTTTCTAACCCAGCATTCCTTGGGGAGACCATTAAATCCAACCATTTGTTCCGGTTCCTTCTCATCGTCACCCTGGCTAATCACCCTACCCTGTCAACAGTAGCCTTCTCATCCTCACCCTGGCTAATCACCCTACCCTGTCAACAGTAGCAGCGCTTCTTTCCCCGCTGTTGGAACTGCTGTTTCCCACCCTACCTTGATTTGGCAGCTTCAGAGTGTCTTGGCCACGTGTTGAACTTTTGTTCCCAGCTCTTGGTTTCAGGACCAGAGCTGTCCCTGGAGAAGGGTGCTGACTTTCATGAATTTGTGTAGTTGTGCTCCTAGTTTTCATCCTTACCCGCTGGTGAGGTCCTCGTGTTCCCATGTGTCCTGATGCTGAAAACCCAATCTTCACGAGACTTCTAGGCCTACCCTAGAAAATACCTTTTCTTGTAGAAATTGTATGGTGTGCTGTTTTTGGTGCCTATCATAATACCTTTTAGTGCATCAGCATGGAGTTTTGATCAAATCTGTTTCAGAGTAAGAAAAACACTGAGTAGGGCAGAACCACCTAGGCGTGACGCTTGAGTGTCTCCTTTTGCTATGGATTGTTTCTGGACCAATTTGTTTTAAGTCCTGGCTCTAACTTCCACATATGAGATGTTATCTTCACTTCTTTGTATATTATGTATAAAGTAGAAAATGAAAAATGCATGCATAACATTGTATGCAATAGAAAATGTGTAGCTGCAATAATAATGTTAAATTTTATAAAACTCAGTACTGTTACAACTGTGAAATGATTTAGAGTTTTTTGTTTGCTTTTATGTGGATAAAATTGTGAATTTTAAATGTATATGAAGACCTTGAATGTATATTGCAACTTATATTTTTGATCTTAACATTTTCTTTTTATTAGTATGCACTATCAAGGACTAGGGAATAAGGAAGAGCTTGACCCAGTTCAGGTGAGAATAAAAAAATATAAGTTTTTTTTTTTAAGTTTCCCGGACTCCAAAGTTCATGCTTTCTTTTTCTTTCAGATTCTTATTTAATTTCATTTTATTTGAAATGCAGAAAGTTGAGTGGGGGAAGAGATCACTCATCTATCTTCAGGATTAGTCCCCAAATACCCACAGCAGCTGGGGTTGGGCCAGGCTGAAGCCAGGAGGCAAGAATTCAGTCTGGGCCTCCCACGTGGGTGACAAGGATCTCAGTCACTTGAGGTACCACATGCTGTCTCTGAGGGTGTGCCGTAACAGGAGCTTGAACCTTGGCAGTCTGATATGGGATGCCACTGTCCCCCATGAGTTCTTTTTTTATTTTTTTAAGACTTATTTCTAAGGACTTGGGCTATCTTCTACTGCTTTCCCAGGCCATAACAGAGAGCTGGATCTGAAGAGGAGCAGTCAGGACTCAAACCGGCGCCATATGGGATCCAGCACTGCAGGCGGCGGCTTTACTTGCTGTGCCACAGCATCCCCACCCCCCACCCCCCACCCCCATAGTATCTTACCTGCTACATGAAATTCCTGTCCCTAAAACTTGATATTTTATTTAATGTCTAATGCTGTAAATATTTTTTGTTTCCTTTGAATTGCCAGACTTAAAATAGATTTGAAAGCTAAGGAAATGGCAGTAAATAAAAATCCTTTGGAAATCTCATTACCTGAATTGTGAGTTAACAAAGCTCAGATTTCCTGTTATTAGGGGATGGCATGCAGAAATGTAGCTTGTGGGTAGAGGAGATCAAGAGTGAGATGGGCAGAGGGAATGAACCTTTTAAATTAATCTTACTTGACAATCTCTGATCTGAGTTAATCCTGTAAATACACTGATAACTTTCTTTTACACAGAGCTTTTTCTTTTGTAATCTGTACCATTTTTACTTAATTTACTTTCACTATTTTGCCTTACTCTTCTCTAGTTTGTATATTTTAATCATTAAGATGATTTTATCTTCTTTCCTGTAGTTGTCACAAGACAAGGGATCATATGGCACAGGTATATTTGAACCTCAGTTCAGCAAGATACAAAATTATAGCTACATGCCACAGAACTTTTCAGCAGAGTTTTCTCCTAACACGCATGTTCCGAAGCAACATTTTACTCTTGGTACAGTACTTAGTCCATGGGAAGTGGGATATGAAGAAAAACAGACTGAGCAGGTATTTTTGAAATAGTAGTTCTTAGCGTTTTGTATCATATTTTCATGTTAAGCCCTTTTCTTTCTTTAACAGATATGAAAAATATTAGTTGTGAAGTATTGTACATATAACCTTTTTTTAAAATTTACTTTAATTTTTTTGACAGGCAGAATGGACAGTGAGAGAGAGAAACAGAGCAAAAGGTCTTCCTTTTGCTGTTGGTTCACCCTCCAATGGCCGCCGTGGCCGGCGCACTGTGGCCGGCGCACTGCGCTGATCCGAAGCCAGGAGCCAGGTGCTTCTCCTGGTCTCCCATGTGGGTGCAGGGCCCAAGTACTTGGGCCATCCTCCACTGCACTCCCGGCCATAGCAGAGAGCTGGCCTGGAAGAGGGGGCAACCGGGACAGAATCCGGCGCCCCGACCGGGATTAGAACCTTGTGTGCCGGTGCCGCAAGGTGGAGGATTAGCCTATTGAGCCACGGCGCTAGCCGACATATAACCTTATTAGATAAATTAAAAAAAAATTCTTATTACATCAGAAACTTAATTCTCTGCATTGTGGAAGCTTCCACTAAAAATCTTGGAAATTATCATTGTTTTGAAAATTATTTATACTAAAATTGAAGATAGTTCACTGTGTCTTACATTGGTGTTTACAGTCACTGTGACTAGTTGGTGATGTCTCATCAACACGTGAGATATTCTCTTTGGTAGACCTTATGCCACAGAACAATTCTCAACAAATTCAAAAAAATTAAAATGATGTCATGTATCTTCTTTGATCACAGTGATGCAAGACTAGGAATCAATAATAAGAACTTAAAAATTTTACAAATACATGGAAACTAAGCAACATGCTGTTGAATGACCAATGGGTTGATTAAAAAATCTAAAGGAAACTAAAAAATGTGTTGAAACAAATGAAAATGGAAAAACAACATACCAAAATTCATGAAATACAGCAAAGGCAGTAACAAGTAGGAATTGCATAGAAATAAATCTATGTATTTAAAAAAGAATGATTTCAGATAACCTAATGATGCAACTTAGGAAGACATAAAAACAAGAGTAAACCCCAAATTAGTTGAAGGAGAAAAATAACAGATCAGAATAGAAATAAATGAAAGAGACTTTAAGAAATATAAAACATTGATGAGGTGAAGAGTGTTTTTTTAAAGATTCATTTATTGAACAAATTACAGAGAAAGAGAGGCAGAGAGAAAGAGAGAAGGAGGGAGATAGGGAGGGAGAGAGAGAGAGATCTTCTATCTGCTGGTTCACTCCCCAAATATCCAACAGCCAGGGCTGAGCCAGGCCCAAGCCAGGAGCCAGAAACTTCATCCAGGTCTCCCATGTAGGTGCAGCGACCCAAGGACTTGGGCCATTTTCTGCTGCTTTCCTAGGCACCTTAGCAGGGAGCTGTATTGGAAATGGAGCAGCTGAGATTTGGGATGCTGATGCTGCAGGCTATGGCTTTACCTGCTATGACATAGCACCAGCCCCAAGCGTTGGTTTTTTGAAAAGAGAGCAAAATCAGCAACCCTTTAGCTTATGTAACCATGGTAAAAAAAATAAATAAAAAGACCTAATTAAGAGAAATCAGATGTGAAAAAGACTGAATTACAACCCATAGCATATAAATACAAAGGATCATTAAGTAACTGTTATGAAACAGACATGTTTATGAACACAGCTAACCTATCAAAATTGACCCATGAAGACCCAGAAAATTCGAAGAGTCCAATAATGAATTAAGAGATTGAATCAGTAGTAAAAAGTCTCCCAAAAAAGAAACATCCAGAATCTTAGGCTTCACTGCTGAATTACAGCACATTGGACAAAGAGCTAATACCAGGTTTTCTCAAAGTATTCCAAAAAAATTCAAAAGGATGAAACTCTGTGACAACCATTCTACAATGCCAGCATTAATCTAGTACCTGAATGGAAGAGTAATATTCCTGGTGATCCTCGAAGCAAAAATTATCAAGAAAACACTAGCAAATTGAATCCAACAAGAAGATAATCACATGGAATTTATCCAAGAGTTGCAGGCTAAGTTAACATGTATACCACACCCATAGATTATAGTATACCATTTGATCACGTAAGTAGATGCAGAAAAAACATCTGACAAAATTCAGCATTCCTTCATGATAAAAACATAGAGAAAGAGTCTACCTCTACACTGTAAAAACAGCATACGATAACCCCACAGAAAATGGGGAAAAGCTCAGTGTTTGCCCTAAGCACTGAATCAAGCAATGTTGTCTACTATTTCATCATTCTTACTCAGTACGGTAGTTGGAGTCATAGGCAGAGCAATTAGGCAAGAGAAAGAAATGAATGGCATCCAAACTGGAAAAGAGGAAGTCATGTTTTCCCTTTTTGCATATGGTAGGGTTTTATATGTAGAAAAACCATTAACAATGCCACCAAACTGTTGGAACTGATAAAGGAATTCAGTAATGCTGCAGATTACAAAATATATTTAAATACCAATACTAAAGTAACTAAAAAGCAAGTCATGTCTTTCATAACAGTCATGGACACACACATTCACACACACACACACAGACACAAAGTATGGAATACTTCGGAATAAATTTAAGCAGGGAAGTGAAAAGTCATTATAATGAAAATAATTAACTTTTGTTGAAGGATATTTTAGGGACCTAAAAATGGGAAGACATCCTGTATTCATGAAATGGAAGAATTAATATTATTAACATATCCCTACCAAAGTGATCAGTACATTTAATTTTACCCCTGTTTAAATATCAATGAAATTCCTTCCAGAAATTGAGAAAACAATTACAGAGCTACAGAAAACCCACAATAGTGGCAGCAATCCTGACTAAAAAGAACAAATCTGGGGGCATCACACTAAACCTTTGCAAGTTTATAACAGTTAAAACAGCATCCTGTTGGCCTCAAAATCAACGTAGCCCAGTGGGACTGAGTAGAAAATCCAAAAATCCACGTATTTACAACTAACTTTTAACAAAGGCACCACAAGTATACATTAGAAAAGAACCTTTTTTCCTTTTCCCAAATTTTTGTTATATACATTTTTTATTAGAGAGTACAGATTTCATATACTTCATATAGTTCTAAGAAGACAGTTGTACATCCCTCCCACCCCTCTATATCTTTTCTCTCCTCCCTTCCCCCTCCTTCACTCTTAACTTTTTTTCTTTAATTTTTGCAAAGATACACTTTGAATTCACTTGATCATCACAGGCTTAATTCACCACTATCCATAATATTCAACAAATGAAAAATAGGAAGACCACTGTTCCAAAGGCATATAAACAAGTGCTGAGAACAGAAATCATATCACAAGATACCATTTTCATTCCTGTACATTTTTGTATTCTGTATTAACTGCCACATATAAGAGAAAACGTGTTTTGGGGACCAGCTTATTTCACTAAGTATGATGGTTTCCAGTTGCACCCATTTGGTTGCAAAGGATAGGATTTCATTTTTTTAAAAGACTTCATAGAATGTGTACATACACACACACACACAGACCATATTTCTTTATCTAGTCATCAGTTGATGGACCTATGGGTTGATTCCATTTCTTAGCTATTCCGAGTTGAGCCATAAAAAATATGGGGGTACAGATACTCTTTCATATGCTGATTTTGTTTCCCTTGGGTAAATTCCCAGGAGTGGCATCATTGGATCATATGTTTGGCTTACATTCAGATTTCTGAGGTTATCTATTGTCCTGCATGGTGGCTGCACCAATTTACATTCTCACCAACAGTGTACTGGGGTACCTTTCCACCCACATTCTCACCAGCATATATTTTTTTTGATTTTTCGATTACAACCACTCTAACCAGAGTGAGGTGAAACCTCATTGTGCCTTTGATTTGCATTTCCCTGATGGCTAGTGATTTTGAGCATTTTTTCATGTGTCTGTTGGACGTTTGTATTTCATCCTTTGAAAAATGCCTGTTCAAGTCCTTTGCCCATTTCTACACTAGATTTTTTTGTTGTTGTTGAGTTTCTTGAGCTCTTTATAGATCCTGGATATTAATCCTTTATCATTTGCATAGATTGCAGATATTTTCTCCCATTCTTTCAGTTGTTTCTTCACTTTGTTGAGAGTTTGCTTTGCAGTACAGAAGCTTCTCAGCTTGATATAATCCCACTTGTCAATGTTGCCTTTGATTTCCTGTGCTTCTGGGGTCTTCTACAAGAAGTCTTTCTTGTGCCAGTGTCTTGCAGCGTTTCCCTGATGTTTTCCTGATTTAATGGTATTAGGTTATAGATTTAGATCTTTAATCTATTTTGAGTTAATTTTTTATAAGTTGTTAGGTAAGGGTCTTGATTCATAATTCTGCATGTGGAAATCCAGTTTTACTAGCACCATTTGTTGAAAAGACTGCCCTTGTACTAGGGATTGATTTTAGTTCTGGTTTAGAATTTTTAGTTTCTGGTTTAGAATTTTAGTTTCTGGTTTAGAATTAAGGTGATGTTGACCTCACAGAAGGAGTTTGGGGGGATTTCCACCAGTTCAGTTGTTTTCATTAGCTTGAGAAGAATTGAAATTTGTTCTTCATTAAATGTTTGGTAGAATTCAGCAATGAAGGCATCCAATCCGGGGCTTGCGTTTTGTTAGGAAGGTATTTATTACTGATTCAATTTCTGTTTTGGTAATGGATCTGTTTGAGTTTTCTGTGTCTTCATGACTCAATTTTCATAGGTTGTATGTATCTAGGAATCTGTCCATTTCTTAAGTTTCCCGATTTGTTGGCATACAGCTCTTTGTAGTAATTCCTGAGGATTCTTTTTATTTCTGTGGTGTCTGTTACATTTCCTTTTCATCTCTGATTTTATTGATTTGGGTCTTCTGTCTCCCTCCCCCTACCCCCCTTTTTTTGGTTATTTGGACAAATGGTGTCTGAATTTTGGTTATTCATTTTCAGAAAACAATTCTTCATTAATTAATCTTTTTTAAAAAAAAGGGTTTTTTAATTTGGGGTGCAGAGTTACAGAGAGGGAG